AAAAGGAACAAACAACAGCAACAAAAAACCCCCAACAGCTGCCCCCCCACCCCACGCTTCCCCAGTGTCCTGGTTCCACCTTGCAGCTTGAGGGCCTCAGGGAGGGCACTGCCTGAATTCTGGGTGCCCCTGTCCCCCACCACAGGAGCTGCTGATGGCGCACGACTTCACCAAGTTTCACTCGCTGAAGCCGAAGCTGCTGGAGGCGCTGGATGAGATGCTGACACACGACATTGCCAAGCTGATGCCCCTGCTGCGGCAGGAGGAGCTGGAGAGCACGGAGGTGGGCGTGCAGGGGGGCGCTTTCGAGGGCACCCACATGGGCCCGTTCGTGGAGAGGGGGCCCGACGAGGCCATGGAGGACGGCGAGGAGGGCTCGGACGACGAGGCCGAGTGGGTGGTCACCAAGGACAAGTCCAAGTACGACGAGATCTTCTACAACCTGGCGCCTGCCGACGGCAAGCTGAGCGGCTCCAAGGCCAAGACCTGGATGGTGGGGACCAAGCTCCCCAACTCGGTGCTGGGGCGCATCTGGAAGCTGAGCGACGTCGACCGTGACGGCATGCTGGATGACGAGGAGTTCGCGCTGGCCAGCCACCTCATCGAGGCCAAGCTGGAGGGCCACGGGCTGCCCACCAACCTGCCCCGTCGCCTGGTGCCACCCTCCAAGCGGCGCCACAAAGGCTCTGCTGAGTGAGCCAGTGCACACCCCCATGGCCCCGCTGTGGCTTCCCAGCTCCAGTCGGCCGCATGCACACCCTTGCCCTGGCTCACACATGCCCTCCCTGCCCTCCCTGCCCAGCTGTAAGGACCGGGGGGTCTCCCTCCCCACTACCGCCAGGCACCCCGGTGGAAGCATTTAGAGGGGACCACGGGAGGGACAAGACTTCTCTGTCCGCCCTTCACACCTCCAGCCTCACGTTCACTTAGGCACATCACACAGACACTAGCATGCACAGACATCCATTCATCCGTTATTCATTCAGATATTTATTGAGCACCTACTATGTGCCCAGCCCTGTTCTAGGCACCGGGCATTACCATAGAGAACAAAATAGACAAATACGTGTGCCCTTGTGGAAGCTGACATTCCCAGGAGAGGGCGCCCACACCGTCACAAAAACACACACTCATTCCTAGCAGGACCCCAGCCCCACCCCTAGGGGAGCAGCCCCATGGTTGAAATGACTAACAGATAAACAGACCCCTTTCTGCTCCACTGCCTCCTGCTCAGCCAGGCAAGAAGCCCAACCCATTCCATCACATCCTCAGGTCTTGGGACCATGGGGGGGCTCAGAGGGGAGACACAGCCTCCTGTTTCCTCAGATGGGCCTCTCCGAAGCCCCTCCCCTTGCTTAAATCAATTGGGAAAGCCCCCAATTCTGTCCACAGCCATTTCTTTTCTATTTCTTTTTTTTGAGAGGGAGTCTGGAACTGTCGCCCAGGCTGGAGTGCAGTGCTGCGATCTTGGCTCACTGCAACCTCTGCCTCTTGAGTTCAAACAGTTCTCCTGCCTCAGCCTCCCAAGTAGTTGGGACTACAAGTGTTTGCTAAATTTTTTTTTTTTTTTGTAGGGATGGGGTTTCATCATGTTGGCCAGGCTGGTCTCGAACTCCTGACCTCAGGTGATCCACCCTCCTTGACCTTTCAAAGTGCTGGGACTACAGACATGAGCCACTGTGCCCAGCCCACGCCCATTTCTTTATGTTTATCATTATTATTATTATTTAAAAGATGGAGTTTCACCATGTTGGTCAGGCTGGTCTTGAACTCCTGACCTCGGGTGATCCGCCCGCCTTGGCCTCCAAAGTGCTTGGATTACAGGTGTGAGCCATCATGCCCAGCCTATGTTTATTATTTTTTATTATTATTTTTGAGACGGGGTCTTACTCTGCCACCCAGGCTGGAGTGCAGTGGTGAGATCTCGGCTCACTGCAACCTCCTCCTCCTGGGTTCAAGTCATTCTTGTGCCTCAGCCTCCCGAGTAGCTGGGACTGCAGGCACGAGTCACCACCCTGGCTAATTTTTGTATTTTTAGTAGAGACAGGGTTTCACCATGTTGGCCAGGCTGGTCTCGAACTCCTGACCTCAGGTAATCCATCCGCCTCAACCTCCCAAAGTGCTGGGATTACAGACATGAGCCACTGCGCTCGGCTTCACACCCATTTCTTTAAAAAGGATCCTACAGCAGGCAGAAAAGCCCCTTCCATCCCAGCTGTACCCCGTTGGAGGTATTTCCGTCCTCCACCCACGTGTTCGTGGCTCCTGGCCCCCTGGAAACCTGGCACAGCTGGTGGTCTGGACTTAGGGATTGCTGGGCCACAGCCTACCTGCCCCCGCCACCCCGCCAGTCCGTATTTAAGTGGAGCCCCTACCAGATAGAAAGGCCCCGGGGCTTTATCTTAGTCTACTTTTCAGGGATGTTGTGGGCGAGGGAGGGGGTTTCTTGGTGCTACAGCCCTCTCCCCACTCCTCAAGGGACCCCGACGCTGTTTGCTGTCTTCACCACGTATTAGTGCTTGACCCTGGCAGGGGACCCCATGGAGCAGCTGGGGAAGAGCAAAATACTGTACATGGAGGCGACGCCCCCTTCAGGATGCTCGCTGGGATTCCCACGCCCACTATTGTCCCCCACCCCGTGGCTGGGAGGGGCCTCTGAATGGACCAGTGTCCCCAAAGAGCGAATAAAACCAAGGCTTCTTCCCAAGTGGCAGGCTGGCTGGCTTGGAACAGTGATCGCCCGTTCTTCCCCTGGGGAGAGACCTGGGCAAGATTTGGGGTGGGGGGAGGCCCCCTTCCGTGCTCTCAGCGGCGGGGTGGAGTTCGTGACTCAATGCGGCGAGTCCTGGTGACTCAGGCCTGGGCCGGGGGCCAGACCGACATATTTTCCGAAGAAAAGTGACTCTGGGGCCCTCCCCGCGGGACATCCCTCCCTCCCACCTCCCGCGGCGGGGGCCTGGGAACCAAGCCCTGGGGCGCGCGCGATGTGTGTGTGTGTGTTCGGGCACGAAGTGCTCCAGCAGCCCCTCCCTCCCCCACCCTGCCCGGCACGGTGCCCTTGCACAACGTAGGTACACAACTCCAGACGCGTTACGCCAGGGACACACACCGGCCCCTGGTGGGGAGGGGGGATCTTGCTCACACGGGCTGCCAGGAGCGCGCGCGTGCTCACACCCCAGGGACTCTTGGCCAGAGCTGGGCAGCTCGCCCCACGCGCAAGGTCCCGCGCACTCACACCCAGCCACACCCACGGCGCCCCGGGACACGCTGGCCGCGCGCTCTTCCCGCCTACGCGGGCCCCTTCTCGCGGCTCGCTGCGCCCCCTGGCGGACGCTCAGGAAACAGGCAGGTTGTGGTCGCCGAAACCCCTGTCCCAGATGGTCGGGCACTGGGTGGGGTGGGGGAGAGCGGGTCTCCGAGGGCTATGATGATCCAGGGCCTGTCACCTTTCCAACGCTCTGCGCAAGGATCTAGCTGAGTTCAGCTGTGTGACCATGTGTGTGGCGCCTTCCCTCTCTGTGCCTGTTAGAGTCACAGCAAGGCAAGCCCATAGACCCCCCTCCCCATTCTCCCCTGCTAAGCCAAGCTCTTAACAGAAACAGCCTCAAGCCATGTAAACAGGACACCCGCGGTCACACCCGGCTCTCGAACCCAGGATGTTGACCCAACTAAGCAGAATGTCAGGCCCTGAGAACCAAGAGGCGGTTTTTCTTAGAATAGCACCCGGCTACCTGCAAACCCCCTATATAGCCCCCATAGTCCGTAAGCCAGGCTGCTGCCTTCACTGCCTGCGGCTGTGGCGGAGGTTTGGCAGGTTGAAATAAACTTACTAAACCTGACCCTGGGTCTGCCTCTCCATCCTTTCCATCAACCTTACAGCGCCTTTTCCCCTTATGAGTCCAGAGTGGCTTTTACGAAGCCTGGATCTCTCTGATTTGTTTTTGAGACAGGGTCTTGCCCTGTCACCCAGGCTGGAATGCAATGGCACAATCACAGCTCACTTCACCCTCCAACTACTGGGCTCCAGCCATCCTCCCACCTCAGCCTCCTGAGTATCTGGGACTACAGGCGCATACCACCATGCCTGGCTAAATTGTTGGCAGACATGGGGTCTCACTATGTTGCCCAGGCTGATCTTGAATTCCCAGGCTTAAACCATCCTCCTGCATCAGCCTCCCAAAGTGCTGGGATTACAAGCGTGATTCACCACGCCCTGCCATGGATCCCTTTGAATGGCTGCCAGGGCCCTAGAGTCTCTGAGCTTCCTTCCTTATTTGTAAATAGCAAAGATGAGTTGATTCTAAGATGAAGCCTCAGCTGGGCGTGGCTGCTCATGCCTGTAATCCCAGCACTTTGGGAGGCCAAGGCAGGCAGATCACCTGAGGTCAGGAGTTCAAGACCAGCCTGACCAACATGGAGAAACTCCATCTCTACCAAAAATACAAAAGTAGCCAGGCGTGGTGGTACATGCCTGTCATCCCAGCTACTCAGGAGGCTGAGGCAGGAGAATTGCATGAACCCTGGAGTGCCAGTGCACTCCAGCTTGGGCAAGAAGAGCAAAACTCCATCTAAAACAAAAACAAAAACAAAAGATGAAGCCTCAGTAACAATAGCTAACACTCAGATGCCAGACGCAGCCTTAAGTGCTTTACATTTGTTTAATCTTCTGCATGATCTATGAGACAGATGTACCATTATCATCCTTATTTTACAGATGAGGAAGCTGAGGCACAGCGAATTTGCCTGCGTAAGATGAATGATTCTAAGTCTGCACTTCTAGAGTCCTAAAAGTGCATGTTTCTAACATTCCTCTAATGTTCTGTGCTTCCAACTGTGATATTCCGACAGTTATTTGATTTCCAAGATCCTAGGACTGGAACACTTGAGAGGATAAAACTTCTGAGACTGGAACGTGTGTTGTGCAGAATCTGCCACTGACGGTTCTGATTTTCTAAGAAAACAAGATTAAAAAATAATCAAGGCCGAGCACGGTGGCTCACGCCTGTAATCCCAGCACTTTGGGAGGCTGAGGAGGGAGAATCACTTGAGCCCAGGGTTTCAAGACCAGCCTGGACAACATAGTGAGACCTTTGTCTCAAAAAAAAGAAAAAATCAGCTGGGGGTAGTGGCTCACGCCTGTAATCCCAGCAGTTTGGGAGGCTGAGGCAGGCAGACAACGAGGTCAAGAGATTGAGACCATCCTGGCCAACATGGTGAAACCTCATCTCTACTAAAAATACAAAAAAATTAGCTGGGCGTGGTGGCCCGAGCCTGTGGTCCCAGCTACTTGGGAGGCTGAGGCAAGAGAATCGCTTGA